ATCATTTTTAATTATTTTTTTCAGGACATAGAGATGAAGTACAACCAACTGCAGCGAATTCAGACCAACGCAGCTCCGGACTCGGACGATAACGCCGGTGTGTTTCAGCTCGCTCGTTCTTCTGAGTTTTGTACAGATTAAACTTTTTTAGCTCCGCCTCTCACACACTCTGCTGCGTTTCAGATGGAATCCATTGATCCCAGCTTCCTGACCTGTTTCACGTCCACATCATTGGGTTTCATCCTGAACCGTTTTATCCCATAAAGGAGGCTTCACGGATCACTGGAAGGTGTCGTCATCGTGGATCAGTCCACTACAAACTCCGTCAGTCGGCCTAAGAGGAGGCGACACATCGCAATTACACTTGTTGCTACGACAACAATCAACTGTTTAAACGATTTCAAACACTGGATGTATAAAATGCAAAAGGAGAGTGTTTATGTTCACACACAGCAACTGAGAATCATTCAGGAAACGTCTTTATACGAAATAAAATCGCATCAAAACAGCGTAGAAACAAAAGCAAATAAACAAAAACATTTTTATCAAGAACTATGATGCTTTACCCATAATTCAAATAAGGGCAACGGCTAATCTGGCCCTAAATTTAGGATTTAAATCTCACAAACTAAAATAGTTTGTTGGTTCATTCACGAGCAGATATATAAATCATGGCTTAAGAAAACACTTAAGGTAAAATTGTTCATAGGCGTTTCAAAAGGTAATTTTATAAAATTAGTTTGTTTCCTGTTTGCAAATGTCCTAAACAAGGAGCAGATAATGGCATGACACGGAGCTTTTTAATTAAAACTTTTAATTTGATGTAATTTTTATGAAAAAATCCAAATATTATAACTGCTCAAATCTTCATTGGGACTTATACTTTATTAATACGCAGTTTTTTTTTTGTATTGGAAGAGTTCTTGGCCGTCTTTCTGATTCAGAGCCTCCTTCACAGATTCTTCTGGATTTAAAGGTCCAAGTTGTTCAACCGTTTCTTAACCGCCTCACCTTCTGAACCGTTGCCTCATCTGTCCCGGACCAAGATGTCCGTCAAAGCGGGCTTGTGTGTGATGCCATTTCTCAGGTAGTTTACAGCTCCGCAGTAAGCACATGATTGTAGTTTTATCAAGCGGTCTAAAAAATGCTCATTCTGCTACATTCCAGCTTTTTTCTTAGTTTTAGGCTGTTTTAGAATTGGGAAATGAAGTGAATGTAAGAAATGAAAACCTAAACAACACAGACAGAGTCGCCGTAACCCAGACAGTCTTTGGCGAGTTTCTCAAGCAGGTATCCTGGTGAAGGTTCTGTAGTCCAGGACCGATCCTGGTGGGTTCAAACAAACTCAACTGGTCTTCATGTGCTCAACTCAGGACTTTTCTTAATTGAAACTGAAAAGTTGAGACAAATGGACAAAAACTGGTTCGTCCAAAGGACAAAGCACCCACGCAGGAGCTGTTCTGACTGTTCTGACTGACTGTAAGGGAAACCAACAACCATGACCCAACAGAAAGCGGGACAAGACTCAGAGGTCCACCTCATTTGAATAGTACCGTAATCTTCTGAGGACAGTAATGTTTGTATTTTGGACAGAGTGCTGTGAGAAAATACATTTTTGTCCCCCGTGAAAGACCGACCAGTGGTGTAGTCTACGTGGTACGCGGGTATAAGGAGTATACCCACTAGAAAAGCTCAATAATTTCAGTATACCCACTTAAAAGTGCCCAGTGATATATGACGTCATTAGGCACGTGTCGTTGATATGTTAAACAGCAGTTAAATGCTTCTGTAACAATTATCGCTGTATGCAGCGCTTGCTTGTTACATTCGCTTATCCAGCAAATTATTGTATAATTCTGTAAACTTACTACTTGAACATGTTTTGCTTTGATATTGTTTTATAAATTCTATAACATGTTCTTATTGCACAGTCAACTGTTGCACAAAGTTTGTTGTACATTCATTCAAATATAAGCATCAGAGAAATTTGGAAATGTTCAATTTGCTTAAAAATCTAAATAAATTGACGGTTACATTGTACCGGTACTAATCGGTGTACATTGGTTCTCATTGGCCCAGTATACCCACTACAAAAATGTAACTACACCACTGAGACCAACGTCAAGTTTTAACTTTCTAGAACTCAAGCCAGTGTCTCACTGGGTTGACTGTTGGAGATTAAAATCTAACTAGAAAGTTCCTGGAGAAACTTTGGCGGGGACTGCCGCGTGGCGGCCATTTTAAAATTTAGATTTGACAGTGCAGTAGACCCTCGCTACTTCCTGGTTCGACTTTTGCGAACTCGCTCTTTCGCCGTTTTTCAAAGTAAGATTGGACATGACGCACAACTGAGTGATTGATGGATGAGCCACACGAGCGGCATGGATTGATTATTTAAAATAAATTATTTTAAATTATTTAGCTGTGTGCAGCCCAAAGGTGCAGGGAGAAGACTCCTCCGGCAGCCTGTCATGATCTCCGCTCTCTGCCACCTGCCAGCGAGTGCAGCTGAGAAGTGGGCGTGGCCAAGAGCGGCAGGTCGCAGAGAGATGAGATCATGACATGCTTTGCTCTTTATATATATACATACATATATATATATACATACATACATACATACACTAAAATAAACTACTACTTACTACTACTTGTACTACTATTCCTACTTGGTGGTTTTTCACTTAGCGGTGTGTGTGTGTGTGTGGTGGGGGGGGCTGGGAACGAAAGCCCCGCAATAAATGAGGGAGTACTGTACTATGTGTTGTGGTTCACTCTCAGCTACAACTAGACCAAATTTCAGCTCAAAATTGTAAAATATCAATGAGTTAGTCATTTTAAGCTGTGGTGGCCATCTTGGATTTTTTTATTTGGGTTAAGTATGTGATGGAGAATGTTCTCAGCTATAATCACAAAACTTTCAGCTCGGTGTAAAAAATAGCTGAGTTAAAGCTATTTAAATGTAGCTTCGGCAGCCATCTTGAATTTTTTTTTAATTCATTATTTATTGGGCTACTACTGCACCAAATTTCACCTTAAAATCTCTCGCACACACAAAAAAAGGCGGATCTACAGTATTTTTTTTGTTTTTAGCTCAGGTGGCCATCTTGGATATTTGATTTGCAACCAGAGTCTATGAAAATTTTAAAAAGTTCACAAATTTATGTTGCCATGGTAACTCGAAACGCCAATGCAGTAAAAGTAATAGCACACACGGCGCCGAGCCGGTCGTTTTGATACGACACTTGTGGGGTACGCATTGCGGTTCGGGCTGCATTAAAGTTGACGGAAGAGTTAAGATATAAAGTTAGAAACCCTTTGTTAGGTGGATAATAACAGGTGGCTGCATTACTGGGCTGTCCACAATAATTCCTTTTACAGTCTCAGTGTTTGCAGCCGAACAACCAAGCGGACATGTTTTGTGCAGCCAAGTTTTAAAAGTCAAAGCTTTTCTTTGTGTCGACTTGTACTGGATTTAGGCTTTGGTCTTGTATTTTTCATTTTGTGCAGTGAAAGCTCAGGTGTTCAGGTGCTCAGGTGCTCTAGCTCTGCAGAATTGCACTGAAAGGTTTCGAGATGAGTTTAAGATGCAAGAGGCCTCTCTGTGACTCAGGAGGAAATCCAGAACTCCCACAACTCTGGTGGCGCTGTAATTTTTCTATTTCAACGACACACACGTGCACTTAAGACTCTAGAATGAAAACATCCAAAAAAACTGTAAACGCATGAGCGGTCATTTGGACCGAGGAGGTGGTTGGTTTGCTCCTACATGTTGAAAAGGGTGATCAGCACAAACAGCACTCTGCTATCCGTCGTCGTTGCCATTGTTGATCTGGCCGTGCACGCGCAGAATAACCTTTGACTGACTGAAACCGTACCGCTCATGCGTGACTTGAAACCAGACCGACAGTTTAAAGGTTGGAACTTCCCCTTTGCGGGGTTTAAAATGAGACGAGAAGCAAAACGTCTTCAAAAATTATTTTAAAAAAAAGTTTGTTTTGTTTAAACCTTCCAGGATTTCACCAGCCTGCAATTATTTCTTATTCAGGAACACAAAAACCTGCTGCTGTTTAGTTTTGGCAGCTCGGAGCACTTTCCTCTGCATGACTCTGATTCGTTCGTTTCCCATCTGAGACGTTTGTGCAGCCTGTCTGCACTGCACCCTCGAGGTTGGGCTGAAAGGACTCCACTGGCCAAAAGACTGCACCCATCACGCCGATGAAGACGTGTGAAGATGAAGTGTAAAAAGACCTGAAAATGTTATATAGATTTTAAAAAAATTAGACATGTAATGTACAATAATGTAAAAGTTCACTTCTTGTTTTGCACCGTATCACGCAGCACAAACTACTTTAAAAATAGAACTGTATTAATCTGTTACACAAATGTTTTGTTTTTAATTGTTGCATTTTTACTAATTTTTTTTTTTTAATCTCGACAAAAATAGAAGGATTGATGGTTTTTCGTTTGATGTGTTTAAAATGGAGATTGGAGTTCAGACATTTGGAAACCTGCAAAACACCTTTAAAGATCTCACAAAGTATTTAATTCACAGAAACCTGGAACGTTTCTTCTGTCTGCACTGACGTCTTTTATTAAATGTTTCTTTTTTTGACAACTGCAATTTAAGACGAGACAAAATCTTTGGAAGGGACAGGAAGTGGTTTGAAATACACGAGGGTTTGCTTCCAGTTTTCTGTGCGTCTCTTTTGTCCATCCCTGCAGCTGCCTTCGTGAGTCGTGTGTTTCTCTTTTTCCTTGTTGTCTTTGCTCCTTTTAGCTTTTAGCTACTGTTCTGCTTTTCAGCTTCAGCTAAGTGTTTCATCACTCAGCATCACAGAAAATGCTGCTTTTCCTATTTGTTTGTAGCCATTCTACAGAACCCCTCTTTAAAAGAGGTGTACTATCCCTTTAGCTCTGTAAAGGCCATTAACGTTTTAAAGCCTCTCAGGCAGTTTCTGCATTGATGTCTCTAAGCTTGTGGTTCTCCACCCATCTTTTATATTTGGCTCTACTTTTCTTGTAGCCGAACCGGGCTATGTCCACCATGAACACCCACGCCAGCGCGTACATCACCACCCCGCCCAGCTTCATCACCATCAGAGTCCTGGTGGAGGTGAGCTCGCTGTAGAACATCCTCGTCCCGAGGCCCACCCTCACCGTGGCGAACAGGAAGATGAAGAGCAGGTCCACCGCGTCTCCCAGCAGGCTGTCGTACCGACCCAGCTGCCGGAGGAACCAGCGGCCCTGCAGCAGCGGGTTGGTGAGCTCGCTGCCGAAGATGACCGCGCAGGTTTCACAGCCCGACACTCCCAGGAACAGGGCCAGCAGGATGCCCAGAATGCTGGCGGCGTGATGAGCCAGCATGACTGGTCCCTCGGTCCGGTAGCACACACACCAGCCCATGTCGAAGAAGAAGTAGCCGAGGCAAACTGCCAAGGCGAACACCTGGAGCTCGGTGTTTTCTGTACCTGGAGAGCAGAGAAATGTTTCATACAGGTTAACAGTCAGTATCTCACCTGCAGTAGACGGCAGCCAACGTGGAGAACTTCTCACAGAAGAGTCCGGCTAACGGCTGCACTGTAGCGCGCCAGCTTGTGTTTTTAGTTTGTTGAGAGTTTCTCAAGCGGACGTGCTGAGAATAGATCGTGTTTATGTCCCGGTCCGACTGGTCGGCACGTGTAGTGCGTCCAGTCAGCTCCCGGTGAGCGGAAGCGTTCAGCTATCTCAGAACCATGAGGATTAACGCCATCGATCCACGCTCGACACGCGCATTTGTGTATCAACGCAATAATCGTTAACGCGCAGCAGCGAACTAAACGTGCGTCGTGTAAACGCGTAGAAGCTTAGTAGCTGACGTAGCTGTCTTTTGTTTCAGAAGCAGAAACTCGATTGGCTAGCCTGTAGCCTAGCCTGAAGAAGACTTCTACCATACTAATGTCGTGGCTGATGGGTTTCTATCATATTTATATTGACTCGTTTGATTTAAGACAAACAGAATTGTTATTAAACCCCAGGTTGTATTTTGTAGACAAAACCCTAAAGATGGATTCACGCTGCGCGAGAAGTGAAGAAATCTGCTCTTGTTGACGAAGGGTGACAAAAACCACATCGCTTTGTTCTCACAGCAGCTTTGAGAACCAGTTCCCGACAGAAGGTCTGGGCAGCATCTTTTCCCTCGGGTAAGCATCATTCGTTGTGGACACACGGCGTGATTCCACAGGCTCACTGACAAATTCAGAATAGAATTTAAAATATTCTAATGTACAAATATCTCATCAACCTAGCTCCGTCTTATAATAAAAATAGGATTGTTCCATATTTTTTTAAATAGAGCTTCGCTGTCAGACTGCAGGTTTACTTGTGATTCCTAGAGTTTTTAAAATTAGAATGGGAGGCAGAGCTTTCAACTTCCTGTTGTGGAACCAACTTCTAGTTTCTGTCCGTGAGGCTGACACTTAAAATTAGGCTAAAGTCTTTTTGATAAATCCTATAGTTGGGGTTGCCTTGGTTTTCTGACTGATCCCATATGCTGCTATAGATTAACATGTTTTTGTCTTTCTTCCCATTAAAACCACACCTGGACTATAGATACTACACCTGTGCCATAGAAAGTACACCTGGATCAGCCGTTCTGTGACTGTCTGTGTCTCTGTCTCCAGCCGGTCGAGTCATCCTGAGCCCAGTTCTGTTGGGGGTATCTTCCTGTTAAATGGGAGTTTTTCCTTTCCACTGTCTCCAGTGTGCTTGCTCAGACAACTGTGCACTAAACTGAAAGATCGGATTCTTACAGTATAACGTTTTAAAGTTATGATCCATGCGCCGTGGTTGTTTGTTAGGGAGTACGACTCCTGGTGGACTCAACTGATCGACGGAACCATGTTTTATTTTAGCAGCTAGCTACAATTAGCACAGTACTGTTCAGTTTACAAATCCAAGACAACATAGAAACGCGTCTCGTGCCAAAGAGATTCTAAAATACGTCAAACAAAATGGCTGAATGAGAAAAACTGGAAGAGTTTGTGCTTTTGTTGTTTCATATCACTGACCGGCATGTGTGAAGGGCCACGGTCCGTCGACGAACACCACGTACGCCGTCAGCAGCACAATGAAGACCCCGTGGGTCAACGTGACCAGGCGGCAGTTCCACTCGGGCCCTCGCTGAGTGAAGGTGCAGCAGAACAACAGGTAGAGGCACAGCCAGCCAATCAGACTGCAGATCACCTCCAACAGCGCCATGGCCCACTGGACAGGAGAAGAGACACATGGACGATGGGATGTCTTCCTGTGGACACCTCTAAAGTTCACCACCAGCTGCCGTGAAAGTTGGGTGATCTTTCTGTGATTTGGTTTGTCTGTCAGCAAAATATCTAAACTATTCATTGAATTTTGATGATTAAACCTGAGAAATGGACTTTAAAAAATAATGCAAATAAACGCTGAAAAGCAGAAACTTATTTGTTAAAGTTGAAAGTAGCACTAGCCAAAAGCTAAAAAAAAGTTAAAAGCTCAAATGAGCTAAATGCTACTTACATGCTAATAGTAACAAAATGCTATTTGAAAGTCAAAAATAGCAAAAGGCTAGTTAAAAGCTAAATTAACAAAAAGCTACCTAAAATATAAAAGGTTATAGCTAGAGCATACTAGATAAAAAATAGTCAATAAAATGATAACTGAAAGCTAACAAAAGCATTAACTACAAGCTAAAAGTAGCTAAAAGCTAAAGTAAAAGGCTACCTACAAATATTGAAGGTGAGCTAGAACATAGAGGAAATCATAGACAATAAAATTGTAGCAAAAAGTAACAAAAATAAAAGCTAAAAGTAGCTCAAAGCTAAAGTAACAAAATGCTACCTACAAATAAAGGTTAGCTAGAACCTACCAGGTAACGATAGACAATAACATTGTCACTTAAAACTAAAAGTAACAGAAGCTAAAACCTAGCTAAAAGCCAAAATTGCCAAAAGAAACAACTTAAAACATAAAGGTTAGCTAGAATATAAACGACACTACAAGCTAAAAGCAGCAAAAGTCTAGCTAAAAGCTTAAGTAGCAAAAGATTTGCTAAAAATTAAATCTACCAACAAACATCAAATGTTAACTAAAACATGCAGGTAACAAAATGCATTAAAACTGTAACAATAAGCTAAAAGTAACAAAAGATTAACTACAAGCTGTAGTAGCAAAACACATTAAAAGCTTAAGTAGCTAAAAGCTACACAAATTATGAAGGTTAAATGGTTAACAAAAGGCATTAATAATAGCCTAAACTAACAGCCTTCATACCTCACCTGTCACTAACGGGTTGCCAATCAAAATGCAACATGGTATTTTTCTTAAGCCATAACTGGCTAATTAAAATAATTAAATTTAAATGAGGAAAAGCCCATATGTGAACACACAGCAGCAAGGTGAGAGCTGCAACAAGAATAAACATATGAAGGAAATGTTCTAAAGCTTTAAACAAATCAGAATAAAGTCCTATTTGTTCAAATGGGGCGGGGGAGATTCTTAAAAACCATTACTGATCCGGCCATCAGGTGGCGCTCGTCTTTTGTGGCTTCAACTTCAAGCTTCTGGTACTCTCTAGTAGTAATATAATTTGTCAAGGTTGTCAAATAATAAATGACGAAATATCATACTGCCGCTTTAAAATTATTTTATTTTGATCCATATTATTGTAGGTGCTGAGTGAGGGTCGCTTTCTCAACCAGCGGGGTAAAACGAGATGTAACTGGCGAAAATGTGTACAGGAAGGAGGCAAACATGTCGTTTGGTGTGCCGGATCAGACATGAGGAGCGGACACATGATCAAAACTGCCAAAACAGTTATACAACTAGACTTTTTAAAAGCATTTTATTGTCTCAGATATACCCTAAAACTACTGTATAAGTACAATAATTGTCAAATATTTGGCAACATGAACAAGACTTTTAAAAATGGGCCTGCCTTGCTCTGATTGGTTGGTTTGAATAGCCTGATCAGGCTCCGCCCCCTCACGTTCTGCTTCAGTTTTTAAGTCTGCAGTGAAAACTCTGTTTTTATTGGGTCTGAAATCAGGTTATACCACAACTGTCAAATGAACCTAAACTTTTTAATTATTTAAAATTTTAATATTTAAATTATTTTATTTTAAATTGTTTAAAGAGCACAGTATCTGTTGGGATTACTGAGTTATTACGTTGCCCTCAGGGACGCTTACACCAATAATACAATTACTCAAACCCAATTATTTCAGCTTCCACGTTGCATCTATTTATAAACTACAAACAAATGGGTAGTTTTGTCACAGTTTTGTGATATGAAACATGTAAAGACATTAAATCCTTACATTTAATGATGAAACGGTGATATATTGGAATATGGAAATAAAAGTATGAGATTTTACCTTTGTTTTTTTTCAACTTTAAATGATATTATTTCTGCAACTGGCTGTTACAGATTGATTTAAATGACACTTAAACAAAATCACCACCACTCACTGAAATCGCTTTGAGTTTCTGGATGAGCCGGATCAAACGGTCTCAGTGACACATTATCTCCCCTCGCTCCCGATCGTCCTAAACGTCGTGTTTCTCAGCATCTTTGTGGAAGAACCTCAGCCTCCATCGGTTGTCATAAAAACTCCATCAGCCAGCTTCAGGAGACGTGCTCTGGGTTTGCAGATTTGACAGAAATGTCCTGTGCAGGCCTCTGTAGACAGTTAGTAGATCCTGAATCCCTCCTCCTGGATCTTGTTGATCCTCTTAAAGGATTACCGACCCCTCTTCTCTGCAGGCACACCTGCTGCCAGACACCGGCTGCTTCCAACTCATTCAGTAAAATATTATAGTTTCTCCTCAATAATTTCCTTTTTGATGTTTTTTATGTCAGGTTTGAGCAAAAGAAGCAAAAAAATAAATTTATGTATTTAAGTTGTTTTTACACAGCTTACAAAATTTAAACAACACTTACAAAAATGTAGGTTTCTCATGTGCCAGGGTATCAAACTGTCATAAAATCAACAACCATCAATTTCAAGGCTTAAACCCCCAAATAACAAAAACAGCTAAAGTTCTGTTCTGGAGCTGAAATCGTGTTTCATTAAAAAAAAGGATTTCATTATTTAAAAGTAAATTTTCTCACTCAGGAGGAAGTTTAGATCAACGCATCAGAACAACAGTAGCTGAAAGCTAAATAGCTGAAGCAGTAGCTAAAGCTTTAGGAAAAATGACTGCAAGCTAATACAAACAAAACTGTAGCTAATGCTAAAAGCTAACACCAGCAAAACTAGCTAAATGCTCAAATTGTCAGAACAATACCTGAAATTATTATAACAAAACATTGGCTAAAAGCTAAAATGAGCAAATTATCAATGTAAAGCTAAAATTGTCATAAATGTACATACAATCTAATATAGGCAAAACATTATCTTAAAGGTAATAGTACCTAAATAGTGGCAAATGGTAAATTAAGCAAAACGGTATCTAAAAGCTAAAAAAGCAGAAAAGAAGCTAAAACCAGCAAACATTTGTTAAAATTGTCAAAACAATACCTCGAATCTAACGAGGTTGAGTCAGGTCCTCTGGACGGATTCTTCTTTGTTGAAACGTTTCGTCTTTTATCTGAAAGACGAGTCTGGGGAGCTGCGAGTAAACAGTCTTACAAGCAGCACCTTCTCATAGTGGATCAACCAGTTTGCTGGGGGCAGACAAAACTGGTTGTTTACATTCTAAAGGGGAGGACCAGTCCTACATCGGGGAAACTAAACAGCCTCTGGCCAAAAGGATGGACCAGCACAGAAGAGCAACATCATCAGGCCAGGACTCTGCGGCCTACACTCATCTGCAGACCAGCTTTGAGAGAGGAGTGAAGGAGGCCATCTTTGTGAAGAGCACCAGTCCATCATTAAACAGGGGCGGAGCCTCCGTGTTCAACTGTCCCCCTCTTACAATGCTGTTATTGCTAGTATCACTCAGCCCTCTGTGAATAGCAAGCGGCCACCAGGACACTAATGACCACTTGTGATGGTCCTCCATGTGAACAGCTAGTTCTGGATGCCCCTAGAAACTGGTTGATCCACCATGAGAAGGTGCTGGTTTGTTGCAGCTCCTCAGACTGAAGAAGACTTTTAGATAAAAGACAAAATGTTAATAATCAGTTTCCAGTAATAATCTCAGTAATCATAAAATCTCAGTGGTCCAGGTAAATCTGACGAGGTTGAGTCAGGTCCTCTGGACGGATTCTTCTTTGGTGAAGCAAAAGTGAGAACTCATCTTGTTGAGGCAAACTAAGCAGAACAGTAAGCTAAATGCTAAACCCAGCAAACAGTTAAAAACTCACAGCAGCAAGTAGCAGTTTAAATGTCAAATAGCAAAACAGCAGCTAAAATCCAAGAGTAGCTAAACAGAAGCTAAAAGTCAGAACATGGACTTAATCAAAACAGAATATAAATTGAGCAAACGCCTCTATAATATACATAAAACGTCTAAAGTTCAGCAGTAATTAATGCAAATTACAACAAATATTGAAGATTTCTGTAAAGTGAATAATTTACACGTTTCCTGACAGCTTTATGGACGGCAGAAAATATTTTACTGACAAAGAAGTTGGAAGCCTAACAGAAAACTTTTTTTTTTTGCTTATTTTGTCTGCAATAAATGTAAAATATTTTATTTATTGTGATACATTTTTATTTTAAGGCGATTTTTATTCACAAGTTCTTGTTGAGGCAGTTTTCATGTCGTTTAAAAGCTCTCAAGAAGGAGCCTCACATTCTGAATGTACTGGTGTATTTTGTGTGAACCAGCCGAACCTCGGCTGCTGGTTTAATAACAGGTCGGGTTTAGTTTGTGTCCGATCGTCCTGCAGCATCGACTCGTGTCCAGATCAGCTCTAATCCGACAGGAGAGCAGCTCTCAACCAGCTGAAGCAAACATGTTTATATCTATGGCCCAGCTTATAAAACTCATAAGGACTGCATTGACCCTGGCCAGACCCGCCCCATAAAGAAAACCCCGCCCCCTCATTTGAATATAAGAACATGAAATAAAGAGCTTAATATGAAAACAGGTTAAAAAAAAAAAAGCCCCTGAAATATGTAAAGCAGCTTTAGAAAATAAAAATGTAAATAAATGAAACTATTATTAAATTAAAAAACAAAATCTTGAAATTTAAAAAATTATTTTTGGAGGAAAAAAAATAAAAGTTTAAAGGTTTTATTTCATGGGAACACATTTGTTTAATGGAAAAATTATCAATAATTTTTAAATTACACCGTTTAATTTTGAATGAAATGGCTTTCCATACGAACGGGGATAGAAAGTCAAAAAGTAAACCTGTCAATCACATTTGATCAAACTCAAGAGAGCAATTGTCCAAATGATCAAAATAAAAATGTCAAAGTGGATGTTGGAGAAAAATGTTTTTATTTGATCTGAAGCATCATAACAATCATAAGTGTAATATTAACAACACATTCTGCTTTTACTGAAAATTTAACTCTTAGAAAGGGTTTATCAGTTCATCTCATGTTTTCTGATTAGTTACATTTTAATTTACATCTGTGACTAAATAACAACAATCTCATCAGCAGAATGAAAATGTTCCTAAATGAAACGTGTAAAAAGAGAAAGTTGTGGAATTGCAGCTTCAACAAACATCAGTTCTTGTATCTTGATCTTTAAAAAAACTCTGAACCAACGAGACAGTTTCACCTAAAAGAAACATTTGAGAGAAAAAACATCGTCTCACCTGGTTTAGGACTAAAAAATAAAACTCTACTGGCAAAACGTGATCAAAGTTTTTGTAAAATTTCAGGTCTGTTCAAAGTAGTTTTTATTTTGCTCGTGCATCAACAACCTGAATAAATCAGAGCTGCACCTAAACAGATCATGGGACAATAATGTCCACAAACACTGTTGGACACGTTGGTGTCTGAGCAGCGGAGACAACACAACAAGAAACTTCCAGCAACAAACAAGAGCAATTCATTTAGTTTACAGATCTCAGCTGTGCATCCATAACCACAGAGACGTATTCCAGCATGCAGCGGTCGAGTAAAGGAGGTCTGGACTTTGTGGAGGAGAGTCGTGGTCCCAGAGACGTCGTAGAAAGACGGAGCACCTGCTCTGTGATCCAGGCGCACCCCAACTCTGAACGAAACATGATCTGAGACGGAAGTCGTGTTTCTGTTGGGACAAAATCGATTTCGCTGTCACAAGAAAAATACCAGGATTTATGTCTGAATCCATACGGGCTCGTTTTAACAACGCCCTTGTATGCGACTGCTACGTCACCTCCTCCTTCCCACTTCACCTCCCAGTAACAAAGTCCAGTCAGACTCTCCGTACTCAGAATCTGACTACACCCAGTGAATCTGTCTGGACGATCAGGATAAAACTGATCTTGTGTCGTGAATGCTACTTTTGTGTTCCCCTCAGATGACCGTGAGCTGTGTTTGGATCCAGAGTGACGTCGCATGAACGTCTCAAGAAGTCAGCTCTGCTCTTTGGTTCTGGCCGTAAACCTTCAGTCCCTCTCACAACGATGTTTGCCCATGTGTTCTGCAGTTTGTGTCCGGGCTGTGACTCAGCTGCCGTCGCATCTTTCTCTCGGTACTGGATTCTCTGCTGGATGTTCTCTCTCCTCATCTGGAGCTCCTTCCGCTTCGCTCTCCTCGCCTGGCGCTCCTTCTGCTTCTCTCTCCTTTCAGCTGCAGCTGAGATGATGTCGTGGCCTATATGTTCATCCACCATGCAGACATGACAGATGATCTGCTGATCAGTGCGACAGAACATCCTCATCACCTCATCGTGACGGGAGCAGATGCTCTTGTGGAGCGTCTTGGAGGGCTCCACCAGCTGATGTTTCCTTAACCGAGCTACATGATCATGAGGCTGGACGTGTTTCTCGCAGTAAGAGACCTCACACATCAAACAGGACTTGATGGCTTTTAGTTTTCTTCCAGTGCAGAAGTCACAGGCCACATCTTCAGGTCCAGCATAGCTGTGCTCAGCAGGAGCAGCTTGGTGTTCCCTCGTCTTCAGCTGCTCAATTAAAACGGCTAAAATGATGTTGTTCTCCGGAACAGGCCTCGGTTTGAAGGTTTTCCTGCACTCGGGGCAGCTGTAGACCCTCTTATAATCCTCTCCATCCCAGAAGTCTTCAATACACTTCGTGCAGTAGCTGTGTCCACAGGGAATATTCACAGGCTCCTTCAGTAGATCCAGACAGATGAAACAAGAGAAACCCTTTCTGTCCAGATGAACTCCTTTCTGCGCCATTTCTCCTCTCGGCGTCTGTAACGGGTTAGTTAGTGATCGTAGGTTATCCAGTGAGCTCAGTCAAGTGGTTTGGAGCATTTATTTTCTGCAGAAGAGGTTAAAACACATTAATCCACATTTTTCCATGCGCTCTGCTCCTGAACATGAAAGTAAGAGCAGTGTTTAAAACAAACTGCTGCTCGAGACACACTGGGCAGCCATGTTCGCGCCAAAAAGAACGACGGCAAAAACGTCTATAAAACTTATAATAATGGTCAAAACATCCCAAACTACTTCACAATATACAAACAAATGACGGTAAATAACATGTGCCAGAGACTTCGGTAAACATGGCTACTTTCACGCGGAAATCAACACTTAATCACAGCAGCAAATTTCGTAACGGCTTACCCTGAGCAGCGCAGAACAACCGTGTGAGCGCGAACAAAAAGATTCAAATGTTGGAAGAGCTACGGAGGCCCAGGAGGCCCAAACTGCAGAAAGCAATTTCCCCACAGGCAAAATCAACGACACAACGGCAAATAAAAATAGCTCGATGAGATAAAAGTCACAAGTACTCAATATAACATAAATAAAATATAATAATTGATAAAAGTGCATGTTTAACTCTGTTACATGTAGAGGTTTCACTTCCTGATGATTCAAACCGAGTTCAGAGCTACACGTCACGTGCAAAGAATGAGGCGTGTCTTCTTCTTCTTTCATTTTATTGTCGGATTGAAGCAACGTTCAGGTGCACACCGCCACCTACTGAGCATGAGTGTGTAACACGTAGCCTCCTTTCCCTAAATTCTGTTAATATTCATTCTGCGTAAATACATAAACAAAGTTTTTCTAACATCACTTATTTTATCCATATCTCCTTCTGTTCCTAAAATCAATTTTAAGCTCCATACTCCCTTTGCCTTTTTGTCTTTTTATTTCAATCTCTTCCTTTCTTCTGTATATTTAGTACACTTCAATAATACTTGTTCCACACAGCTGCTGTTGTTACTTTCCCCCATTTAGTAAAACATGGCCGACCCCCAGTCTCATTATTATAGCATCTTCTCTTCTACTTCTTTCTCTATAATTAATCATAACTGAGTTTTGTGTTTTGTATAATCTTCTTCCTTTCATGTCCTCATTCCACTTTTTTTGTTGCCAATTTTCCAATTATTTTCCATTAATTATTGATTTACACTCTACCTTTCCTAAATGAATATGAACTCACCCGTCAAAGCCTTTTTAGTGAGTTTATCTGCTCTCTCATTTCCTTCCACCCGCTCGTGTGGCATCCAACAAAACTGAACATTCACTCTGTGTAACCTGAACAACGTGAGCTGTATTTCTAGATGAAGGTCTTTCCTATGGTTTCCTTTAGACTAGACTCTGCCACCATTTCTGCTGTAAAAACTGAACGTTGGTCTGATATCGTTTTGTAAATACAAATTTCAAACTCTGGTATATAAACTCCTATTCCCACCCACCCCTTTGTGCTCTTTGAACCATCTGTGAACATTTCCAGTTAATTAAAATACAACTCTCTAAGGTGTTTACTGGTTTTTACCGCTATTTCATTTACGTTCCATTATCTTTTCATTTCAACAATTTTCATGTCTACCTTACTTTCTGGGATTAACCAAGGATAAATAATACTAGCTGGATTAATCTGTATGAATTCTTTATTTCTATTCCATATATTTAGGCTATTTTTTAAAAAATTTCCACCCAAACCCATTTCTTTGATATTTGGCATATTTCCAACAGTTCTGGATTATTGTTGACACACAATTTAATTCGTTCCTACCCTTAAGTTTCACCCTGATACTTATTCCGATGCAGACCTCATGAGTGCTCTGTAGATATAATGATTGTTTATCTGCTCCCCAGTTATTTCCTGCCTCTGCTTTCATTAGGTTCATTTTAGACAGGTAAATCCCGTTGAGCCTCAAGGACTCATTTACAAGAGAGACCTGAATTAATTAATTAATTACTTTCTTGCACTTTGTTTCCACCTGTTTCAAATGTGATTGCCATGTGTATGAACTGTCTAAAAATAACCCTAAATATTTAAATTCACTAACCAAGTGTCGTCCACAGATCTGAACCAGTGGCTGTGTTGTTCCCTTGAAAGAGTCCAGGGCTCTCTGTTCCACTTCCTTCATGTAGACTGGCCACAATTGGTGACACTGGACATCCCATGGCACAACCAGGCTTCTGTCTGTAAAAACTGTCATTGAACTTGAAAGAAGTTGTGGAAAGACAAAGAAAGGTCCAGCAGGGTACAAATCTGGTCCGGGGTGAATTGGTCCTGTTGCTCATAATCTTGTTGAAGACGTTTTCTCATGGCGCCATTTTCAAATGTTTAACAAAGTTCCTGGAGTTCTCTGTGTGACGTGGTATGTTTCCCACAAGAGGAGCTGAAATAGTAGCAAGATGTTTTGCATTATTATACATCACGGAGTTTATGCTGCTGACGATGGGCGTGAGTGAGGTTCCTATTTTGTGGATTTTGGGAAGTCCGTAAAAGCATGGCATGGCTTCCTCTTGATGTGAGTTGTGGTAAAAAGAACGACTGATGATCTAGTCTTTTTCAAGTTGTTGTCTGTGATCTTCTTTTTGTATGTGCTGCTTGCTCTTTAAGGTCTCATATATAGTGGTGTTACTCTGTCGTGTGGATATTTTGTCCTAGTAATCAGAAGTGTTGAAGATTTTTGTACATCTTCCTTTGTCAGCCTCTCAGACAGAGGCTGGTCCATCCCAAGGACAGAACCCCCAAACTGAGCAGTGTGATGTATTCAAAACTACATCTAATCCTCCATTTCTTTTCTGATCATGTTGAAGGATGGCACTACAAGAGATGAGAGCATTTACAGAGCGATATCAGAGATAACGGTGCAGCATTTCAAGTCCAGGTGCTGCAAGTCCAGGCTACTCCTGGACTTATAAGCAGTGCTGGGATAAGCTGAAGAATTCTGTTTATAGGACTATTAAGGACCACAATGGGTGGAGTGGCTGGAACACAATGACCCGTTATGATACTGGCCACTTTGCATTGCCGGTCCCGCCCACAGATTGTGCTGGTTTTCTATCTTGTGCATCATCTCTAATTTATTATGTGATGCTGCTTTACCTGGATTGAATGTCTAAAAAACATAAAATCTGTTTTAATTTAAGCTGTTAGGTGTTTTTTTTTATTTCATGGGACATTTAATAAATTAATTGTATATTTAATGATGTATTTAATAATTAAATGAAACATGTGTAATTATTTAATTTAGTCACATTTTAGCCATTTTGTCCACTCGTGTCGCGTTGTTGTTTCACCTCCGCTCCAGCAGGTGGCGCGCTGCTTTAAACGTCATTGATTCTCACCGTAGACAGAGCTTGTACCGGAAAAGTGCATGTTTAATTTAACTCAAAATGATCAATGACAGATAAATATGTTTATATAATCTCAGCTGAGCTACATTAGTTTCTGTGGATCATTAAATAGTCGTTTGGACGCAGAAGCCGCCGGTTAAACACTGAAGGTAAACTCGCTTCACGTGCGTGGAGGCGCCAGCAGGAAAGGAAACATCATGGCCAAACTCTGTTCTCCTACTTACAATTTAATTTAAATTTAAACGCTGTTACGAATTCGGTTCAGCTAAAACCCGTTCAACTAATTTACTCGTGTGAGCAAGAGTCTTTTGATAATTCGGCGGTGTCACGATAAACAAAACAAGTTAATAATTGGTCAAATATCACTAAATGTATTCATGTTGTAAACTGATGAAAACGTTAAGAGGTTAAACTTTGTATGTATTTGATAAAACAGATATTAAATGTGAAGCATCTTGTGATGAAGTTTGGGCTTGTACAAGTAAAGAACTAAATACAAACAAAAAATAATCTCGAGAGATTACAGGGGTGTACTGTCTGAACTCCATTTTTAATATTTACGTTTAAGGAGCCTATTTTCTGTATGCCTTTTTTTTTTTTTTTTTTACTAATATATGTAATGATAAAACTTAGTTATGATTTTATAAGTTGATTTGCTGCTTTTAGAAAATGTCTAGAAATAGAATAATCCTTTTTGTCTCAGTAATTTCAGTATTTCCACAGGATGCTTCCCTTCAAAATAAAACAGAAAAACTACATTAAAACTACCTTGTGTTTAAAAGTGCAACATTTCAGCCTGTGTTGTTTTAAACATTCTCAAGGAACAGATTTAAATTATTTTGTTAAAATGATAATAATCACTCTGTTTTCCCCCAGATGATTAGAAACCATTTCAGCCGTGGCACTAGTTTAAATCTTTGCCCGTTCTTCTCCAGGATGCTGGCTCTTCCAGGTGTGCGGCTGTGCCCTCGCCAGGTGACCCCAGGCCTTAAAGTCTGTGGTTTTGCGACCCTCCGTGGAACATCGGGATCCCAGGACAAGAGCAGCAGCGGTCCGGTTTTCCAGTATGTCGGCAAGCACAAAAATCCAACCCTCAAGGTGTTTGTGTGGGGCTTTAGCTTCACCGGGGCCCTCGGGATTCCCAGCTTCGTGGTGCCGGATAGCGGCAGGAAAAAGCCCAGGAAGTATCAGCTCACTCCTTACCGCCTGGAGACTGCAGAGCAGGTAAACCCCACTGTTTTTAAATCAACCGCAGGACTGGTGACGCCCAAATTCAATAACTTTAGGACTGTTTTAGAAATTTCTGTGCTCCAACACAACTGATTTGAATAAGTGAGTTACTAACATTCTTCTGCAGGCCTTCGTTTTAGACCTGCTGAAGAGCTGGAATCAACCGGCCCATGAGGACCAAGCTCGAGGACCACTGGGTTATTTAACGTCCTGTTCAGTAAAAATTCATGCCTTTAGGGGAAACTTGTTAATTTGAATTTAATTTTGAAACCTTCTTTAGCGTATACTTACTTGCTTGTTTTTACTTTTGAGACATTTGTTTTGCTAGTTTGATCTTTAAGCTACTGTTCTGTTTATTTTAGCTGCTGTTTAGCTGGTTTCACCTGTTAGCTACTGTGCTGATAATTGTAGCATTTAGATACTATTGTGCTTGTTAGCTATTAGCTAACTCTTTGATCGTTTTAGCTTTTATCTACCATTCTGATCATTGTAGATTTTATCTAACATTTTGGTCATTTTAGCTATTAGTTAACATTTTGGTCATTTTAGCTTTTGGCTTCTGTTCTGATCAATGTAAATTTAGCTATGTGTTGTTGGCTTTAACTTTTAGCTTCTATTCTGCTTCTGGCCTGATGATCATTAAAGGTTTTAGTTACTGTTCACATCATTTTAAATTTAACTTTGTTTTGTTTTTAGCTACTGGTCTGATCACTGCAGCTTTTAGCTACTGGTCTGAT